CCTCGCGCGAGTCGCGGCGCCCTCAGCCTTCACCCTTTTACTGCCTCGCCCGCGGCCGCGGTGAGGAGGACGATGTTGCGCCTGTGCGCGAGCTCGTCCGGTCCGTGGTACTTTAGCTCGTCGAAGATCTCGCGCGACTGGCGGCCCGCCAGCGCGGCGCACGCCTCGGAGCCATAGTTGACGACTGCACGCGCGAGCTCGCGGCCCGCCGAGTCGAGCACGCGCACCGCGTCGCGCTCGCAGAACGGGTGCGTCACCGCGGACACGCCCGCGAAGAAGAGCGAGTTGCCGCGCGCCAGAGCCTTGCAGGCGCCGGCGTCGAGCGTGAGGGTGCCAGAGGCGGGCGGAAGCGCGAGCAGCCAGCGCCTACGGCTCCGATCGCACGGTCTCTCGCCGCGCAGCCGGCTGGGGGGAGCCGGGCCGCCGCTCGCTTGTGTGACGCGACGGAGGACGGCTGCGGCAGGATGCGGGTGCCGACGTCGCAGGCTCCGCCGAGCACCGCCGCCACCGCGCCGGGCTCCTGCGCCGAGAGGCGGGAAACATGTCAGAGAAGTGTCGTGGACGAAGTGTCGTGGACATGTCAGAGAAGTGCCGGGCTCCTGCGCCGAGAGGCGGGACGGTAGGGTTAGGGTTGGGGTTGGGGTAGGGTTAGGGTTACGGGCTCCTGCGCCGAGAGGCGGGACGGGGTATGGCGGAGGGTGTGGCCGAGGTGTGTAGCCGAGGTGCAGCCGAGGGGGCACGTTCGAGGCGCATGCGGCCTCGAGGCGCATGCGGCCTCTCCCTCCGCCTCTCCCTCCGCCTCTCCCTCCGCCTCTCCCTCCGCCTCTCCCTCCCCTTCTCTCCCGCGGCGTCTGCCGGCATCGCACCTGCGCCGAGTGGATGACGGTGGTGACGCCCGCGGCGGCGGCCAGCCGCGCGGCGCGCAGCTTGGTGGCGATGCCGCCCGTCCCCCACGCGGACCCGCTGCCTCCGCCCCCGGCCGCCGCCTCCTCCGCCCTCGCCAGCGCCTCACACACGTCGGCCACCTCTCGGATCGGCTCCGCCGGAGGCTGGCCCGGCGGCGGCGCGACGTGCGGGTTGGCGGTGTAGAGCGCGTCGACGTCGGTCGCGAGGAAGAGGTGCGACGCGCCGACGAGCACGGCGACGAGGGCGGAGAGCGTGTCGTTGTCGCCGAACCGCAGCTCCGAGATTGCGACCGAGTCGTTCTCGTTGACGACCGGGATGACGCCGCGCCGAAGCAGCTCGTCGAGCGTGGCCTGCGCGTTGCGGTAGCCCGAGCGCGAGTCGAGCGCGTCGGCGGAGAGGAGGACCTGCGCGATCGGCTGGCGCAGCGCGGAGAAGAACTCGTCGTAGTAGCGCATGAGGTGCGGCTGGCCGATGGCGGCCATCGCCTGCAGCTCGGCGAGCCGCTTGGGCCGCTCGGCGAGCCCGAGCCGCTGGCAGCCGACGCCGACCGCGCCCGAGGAGACGAGCACCACGTCGTGCCCGCGCGCACGCAGCGTCGCCAGCGTCTCGACGAGGCACGCGAGCGTCGAGAGGGCGAGCGTGCCCGAGTCGCCGCGCAGGATGGACGAGGTCCCGACCTTGACCACGATGGTGCAGCGGCCGCCGTCGCCGCCGCCCGGCGCGCGGTCCCGCGACAGCTTTGGGCTCACCGGCGGGTGGGACGACATCGGAGCGCTCAGCGGAGAGCCGACACCTTCCCACGGCCAGTTTCGCGAACTCCACGTGCTTCGACTCTGGGTTCCGGCTCCTAGCCAGATAGGGGGTCTGTCCCCTCTGACTCGCACCAAAACGCCCTACCTACCTACCTATTGCGGGCGCCAATCGCCAGGCTCCGTGCCCCACCTACCTACCTATTCCCAGGCCGCGCAGCGAAGCGAAAAAATACCCGTTAGCCCTCTGTGAATAGGCTCCCAGCGCCCGCCGCGCGCCGGCTTGTACCGCGGTGCGCGCCGCTCGCGAGCCCGTCAGAGCATGGCCTACTGGGCTCTCGAGGCGTTGGACGGCTCCAAAACGGCACTCTCTTCCCTCGACAGAGTCGAGGGCACGGACCCTCCCGCCTGAGCATCGATCGGGCCGAGGAGCTGCGGCAGCACGTCGGCAAGCCCGGCCTCCACTACCCGCCGTCTCTGCTGGATGGGCTTCTGAAGCGACCCACGTTGCGTCTCGTGGAGCACTTCAAGGCAAAAAGCCTCTCTGACGACCAGTGGTTGAAGCTGCGGGCCCTGCTGCGAGAGTCTCGCGCGACGATCACGGCTGAGATGGAGCGGCGTTTGGCGATGGCAACGCGGCAGGCGGCCAACGCTAACCTCGAAAAGGCGCAGGTTGCTCTCGGAATTCAAAAGGCCGTCTTCGATTTCATGGCTGCAAAGGACGAAAGCAAAACAACCGTGAAGGCCATGCAGGCGCAGCTGCTGACGCAGGGCATGACCAAGCGCGAGGTGCCGAAACACAAGGCGCAATGCGTTGCAGAGATATTCACCCGGTTTAAACTCAAGGCGGTGCTGCCCTCGATGGGGCCTGCAGCCGCCACCCCGGCCGCCTCTGCCCCAGCTGCTGCCTCTGCCTCCGCCTCTGTCACTGCCCCTGCTTCTGCAGCAGCCTCGAGTCTGCCGGATGCGGGGACGCTGGCCAACCTAGTGCAGGCTGCTGCCAAGGCCGTTGAGGCGGAGGAAGCGGCGGATGCACAGCTGACAGAGGTCGAGAAGGGGGAAGCTCTCGCCGCAGCAGCCAAGGCCGTCTCGGGCCATGCCGCCGCCGCCTCTTCCTCCGCCTCTGCGTCCACCTCAGCTGGCAACGCTGTGCAGATGGAGCTGGAACTGGCAGGCGGCGCGGAGAGTGGCAGCGAGGCGGAGGAAGATGACAGCAGCGATGCCGCTGAGCTGCCTGCGCTGCAGCCCATTGCGCTGGCGACCGCTGATGACGCCGTGGCCCTTCTGGATGCGATGGCCGCACACGTGAGGCAGCCGGTGTCGATGTGGGGATGCTGCGGAGGTGCTGGCAACATGGGCCGCTCTTACTACTGCAACAATTGTCGCCGCCACTTCCACGAGGGCTGTCAGAAGAACCAGAGCAAGGGGAGAGAGGCGCCGCTCTGCCCGTCGTGCCACGCTGAAGCGGTTAGCGGAGTGGGTCGTCGCCCGACGCGTCGTGCCGCCGGAGGCAAGCGCAAGGCACAAGACAACTAGTCGACCTTTTCCTTTTCCTTTTCTGTTCGCTCTCTCTCTGTGGTGTCTCGTGCCTGCCCGTGTGTTGCTTACTTAAAATTCTTGTTTTGAGGTGCGCGCCGCAATTGGCGCCGCATTCTTGTTTTGGGTTCAAACAGTCCATACCCCCCCACCCCTCGAGGAGGCCGCCTCCGGCGGCCAGGACCATACCCTTTTGGCCGTACCATACTTACCGGCCAAAAATTCGAACCCTGACTGTGCACACCCAAGGTGCGCCGTGCCGTGTGATATCCACCCAGCGCCACTCACCCTCTGCCCCCGACACTCCGACTCCGGGCCCACCGGCACACGCACAGCACCGTGCTCGCTCGCGCCGCGCGATCGCGCGCGCGCCCTCGCCATGGCCTCCCATTCCAGCCCTTCTAATCGCTCGCCCTCTTCGACTCGCTCTCCAGAGCTGTCCACCCAAGGCGATGCCGGCGCGTGGGACCTGCCCGCTCCAGGCGCGTGGCGCACGCGTCGGGCGGCCGGCCGCACTCACACGCCACCCCCCCCGACGCGCGCAGGCGTACCGATCATGGGAAGGTGCCGGCGTTCGCTCGGGCGCAAAAAAGAGGGAGCCAGCGCGGACAGTCTTGCACCGCCCGCAGGTCGCGGCTTCTTCGCGCCGCGGCCACTCGTCGACGCGGGCTCTCCTCGGCGCGGGCTCTCCTCGCCGGCTCCACACGCGCGCCGGTGCTCGCTCGCGGCTCCACACGCGCGCGTGTGCCGGGCCTATTGTAGAGGCCTTTCGGGGAGACGGAGTGCCCCTGCCTCGCGGGCTGCTCGCTGTTTCAGTGCGTGTGCACACGTCTCAAAGATACTGTAACAATAAAGGCTCTGTTCTGTCGGCCGTCCTTCTCTCTGCAACAACCAACATGAGGCGCCGACAGAGAGGGTGACTAGTCGGGTGTACGGCTTTATGTGTCGACTCGCACCTTCAGCTTCACGCTCCCCAGATTCCCACAATATGCCACAATGGACAGCAATATGGGAAGTGTGAGAGTGCAAGGCGCGCTCCTTACCACGCGAATTGGTCGAGCGGGTCGGTCGAGCGGGCCGCCGTCGTGGGCGCTGTCGCCGCCGTGCCGGCCGTCGCCTCCCGCTCCGCTGGGATCCGGGTCGTCGCCTCGGTCCGCAGCGTGCCGAGCCCGGCTGGCCGGGTGGTCGTTGCCCTCACCAGCGCCAGCGGGGGGGCGATCCCCCCCCCCCGCTAGGTCCTCGCTGTCCGTTGCGCTCTGACCGCCGCTATCCGCGGCGTCCTGCCCTCCCGGGCGCCGCGCGGGCCCCCGGCCCCAGGTGGAGGGCGGCTTCGGCATGGGCGGGCGGTGGGTGAGGACGGTGGGGGCGAGGGGCGGCGAAGGAGAGGGTGGTGGCAGAGGGGTGGGCGAGGTGGAGGGCGGGGGCGGCATGGGAGAGGTGGAGGGCGGCGGAGGCGTGGGCGAGATGCGAGGGGGGTGGCGGGTTAGATCACGAGGAGGTAGAAAGTCGGGCGCAAGCGAGGTGGTTTGGCGCCGACGGGCCGCCCTCTCCACCACCCCCGCCCAGGGATCTACAACGCTGTCTTAAGGTCCGACAGGTTCGGCACCGGGCACCGCCTCGGTATACAAATGCGGTTGCGGGCGGACCCTCACAGATCACAGATCAGATCACAGGTAAGCCATAGCGGATGGGGAGGCCCTAAAACGGCGGGAGGGGTAGGGCTATGTATATCGATAGAGCTAGAGGGCTCAACCACCCCTCGACCCCTCCACCCCTCCACCCCTTCACCCTCCCGATTTCGCATCGGAAATGCGTGCGATCCTGCTCGCCCTCACCTGCAGCTGCCTCACTGGAGCGGCCGGCCTCGCGGCGCCGGAGGGCGTGCAGGCGCGGAGCCGCCGCGCGGCGCAGGGCAGTGGCGCGGTGGCCGGCAGGAGGGCGTTAGTCGCGGGCGCGCTGGCGTCGGCGCTCGTTGCAGCTCCCAACCCGGCGCAGGCAAAGATAGAGGACACCAACCCGGCCAACAACTACTACTTTCCGATGGCGCGCCGCTCCCTCCGCAGCGCGCCGCTCGGCAGCCCCCGCCTCTCTCCGCTCCCATTTCTCCCCGGCGTTCTGGACTCCGCTGGTTCTGCCGACGGCTCCCTGATGGCCGCCGCCCTCGCCGCAGGCCAAGTACAGATATCTCCCGCGCATCTTCCGGTCGTGGATCGCGGTCGATCAGCTGGCTCCCGGCGCGCTCGAGAAGCGCGACTGGGAGGGCCTCGCCGAGGTTGCGAGCCGCCTTGACGACGTCACGACGGCGCTGCCGCTGTACGCGTCGGCGGTGGAGGGCTCGCGCTCGACCAAGCGGAAGAAGAAGACGCCGGCGCAGAAGCAGATGAAGGCGGACGCGATCGAGTTCAAGGCGGCCTGCGAAGACCTGAAGACCGCGGTCGGGCGCAAGAACGTCCAAAACACGGAGAAGGCCCTGGCGCGCGCCCGCTCCTCGCTGCTCTCGTACCGCCAGCTGGCTCAGATCGACACGCCCGACGGCAGCGTCGAGCCCCTCCGCGGCGCGGAGGCTGCCGCCGGAGCCCTCTCTCAGCGCTCGCGTGCCGGCTGCCGTAGGCGGCGTCATCACCCTGCCGACGGGCAACGCGCTCGAGGCTGGCCACGGCGGCGCTCCGCTCGGGTACGTGGTGCCCGCCTTCCGCGGAGGAGGCATCTCGAACGACTGTGCGCTACGCCCTCCACGCCCCCGCCTCCCGCGGCACCGCTCGCACGCACGCCCCACCGCCCCGGCCTCGCCCCCCTCACCCGCCGCCCTCGCGCCGCAACGGTCCGCAGACTCGCTCGAGAGGGGCGTGCCTATGATGGAGAACGGCAAGATCGTGCAGTCCTTCCGCGACGCGAACGAGGCGGGAGTGGTCGCCGTGGAAGGGAGGGGGAAGAAGTGAGCCCCCCCCCCCCCCCCCCCAATCGCGCGCACGTGTGCGACGGCCGCGAGGAGGCTGCGGGGCGGCCCCGGCGCCGCGTGAGCTCAGCGTCGTCGAGCTGTGGAGGTGAGGGCGGGCCGCGGGGGTGGGACACGCGAGGGGGGAATGGGGCCGCCGTCTCGCGGTGGTCTGACTCTCGTCAGGACGGTATAGTCGTCAGCTCAATGAGAGGCGCTCGAGAGAGGAGGCGGGAGCCGCCGCCAATTTGTCGACGCGCGGGTCGGCGCGCCCCTCTGGCTGACTGTCGCGCCCGTCGCGCCGTCTCCGCGTGCTTCGCGTCACATAGTTTTAGTCCATAGTAGTGTAAAGATGTGGCAGCTGCAAGGTGCCCGTCGGTTCATCAAGAATTTTACAACCTTGAGTTGGACCAAACTCCCTCTCTCTCCTCAAGATACTCAACTTACAAGAATTCACCCTCGCCGTCCCAGCCTGAGGCTGGGAGCCTGACTGCCTGAGCTGTTTTTACATTAACTTTGGCGTTTGGGCCTAACAGTTGCGCTAGTGTTGGCTGAAATCCTTAACGATAACGTTGTTCAAGTGTTCACCCCAAGCCCACATGCTGTTACTGTTTGTTACTGTTGTTACTGTTGTTACTGTTGTTACTGTTGTTACTGTTGTTCAGCGGTCAGCAAGCAGAAAATGCCGAAAAACCCCGGGTAAAACCCGAAAATGCCTGGGTTTTCCCGGGTATTTTCGGGTATTACCCGCACTGGACGCTGGAGGTCGTCGTGGGTTGTCACTGCCAGGCCTTCCTTATTGTTGTTCAGCCGGCCTAACGTTAGCTACTGTTGTTGGGGAGCCCCACTGTTGTTCTGTTTGTTACTGTTAACAGATAACACACTTGCCGCAAGCCCGCAACACTGTTCAGCTCCCAACGTTAAACAGCTCTAGTCCTAGCAAAGTCCAAAGGCCGACTGCACGCTAAAGGCTACACGCTCGCACACCACTTGCAGAGTGGCTCTCCCAGGCGCTCACCCCACCCGGAGGCACGCCAGGCCCCGGGCAGCCGGCCGTCACTCGCCCAAGCGCCTAAGCGGCCTAAGCGGGGGGTGCTTAGGGTGCTTAGGCGCTTAGGCGGCCCTTGTGAGCGTGGCGGCGTCGTAATACAAGTGACTCCGATGGCAATCGTGATGCCCCTGCTAGTGTCATCGCTCAGAGAGCAGCCTCACGCACGTCCACTGTCTACCACTGGCCCTGGTCGCACACTGCCACTGAGCTGCGCTGGTCCGCAGGCTGGTGCGGGAACTCAGCATCAGGTCGAGTCGAGGAAGATCGCGGAAGGTCGAGGAAGAGAACAAGATCAGGGGCGGGTCCGGTAGACCGGTCCGCGGCGCCATATGCGTGGCAAAGGACGCGAAAAGTGCCCACTGAAGCTTCCGCGCCTTGACTTCACGTTGAGCTGTGATGATGCCCACAGCCCTGCAGCAAAGGCGGGCGGGCCGACCCCGCGGCCATCGCCGCCGCTGCCGCCTCCCCCTCCGCCGCCGCCCCCTCCGCCTTCGTCGTCACCTTGGGCTGCATCACCCGCGCCGCCGTCGTGCACCGGCTCTCGTGCTCATTCAACGGCGCCTCGAGCTGCAGGCCGGCGGCACTGGCGTTGTCGTGGTCGGGCTGCCCAACGGCGGCGCGGGAGGGAGGGGGCAAAGCCGTTATGAAGAGCGCGAGAGCGAGCGCCAAGAGGGCCCAGATTCTGAGCAGCAGCCCGCCTGGTCATGGGCCCACTTGCCGACGTGCGTCCAGCATTCCATGTCCATGTGTCCATGTCCATGTCCATGTCCATGTAGGACGAACGCCGAAGTTTGCTCTCCGACGCCGTGCCGAGCGAAACCTTTTCCTTCGAAGCTCAGCGTCGTAGCCGGGCGAGCGGAATAGGGCCCTAGAGAGCACCTTGAGGCCGTTCAATAGAGCCCGTACTATAGTCGAGAGTCGCTCGCCGGCCGGCGCAGTGCTGCTCTGACCGCTCCGCCGGGCCCCCTCCGGGCCGCCGCCGCGGAGACGTGCACATAAGGCAAGTTGGTATTTTCATATATGAACTTAAAAAGTATTGGCTAGTCTAATCCTACTCATCACAACTCGCCAGGAACACCCCCACCCTATAGGGTCATTGTGTAGCCCTGCTTAGAAGGAAAAGGTTTACTGCAAGGTCCGAATGGCTCACCGTGTAGTCGGCCAAAGACCGCCGCGTGCAGGGACTCTTGCGGAGATCAATCAGCAGGAGGATGTACGAAGAGATTAGGAGCAGCAGGGACCCGAAGGACCATAGGTGTTGGAGAGGGAGATTTTTAGCAATGTTGTGTTGTTTGTTTTGTTTGTTGTTGGTGCTGGCGAGCGATCCAGCTTCCGGAGCAGAAGGTGTGTTTGTTATGACCCCCCCCAATGAACACACCAGCGAGGGAGGGCGGACGATCGAGGGGTCCCGTACCACGCGGGATCGACCCTATCCAGTGCTCAAGTGCTCAAGAAGAAGAAACTAAAGAATTTTTTAAAGAAACTTCCGCTTGAGAGACCGAGAGAAGTTTTGTTTTGTCCGCTTGATGGCCCCCGTTGATGACACAGGATCCCTCGGAGCCTGCAGAAGCTATGCTCGAAGTGGTTCTCTCCGCCTCCTCTCCACACGCCCTGATCGAGGCCACCCCCGCGTGGACCGAGACGTGGGGCCACGCCGCCGGCTCGCCGCTCGCCGCGCTCTGCGGAGAGGGCACCTGCGCCCACACGCGGGGGCTGATCGAGGCGCGGGCTCCTCCGGTGCCTCCCATCACCAGAGCAAGCTCACGCCTAACCTCGCGCCCTCCCGCCGCGACAGGAAGCGCTGCGGACGGGCCAGACGGCAGCCTTCCGCATGCTCACGTACAGCGCCAACGGATCTCCGATCCTCGCCGCCGTCGAGGCACGGCCGCTCGCGGCAAGGGCTGGCGCCAAAGATTGCGGCCGCGCATCTCTGCTCTTTGTGCCCGAGAGCGGGCAGCCGCGCCACGGGCGTGGCGAGCCGCCCCCCGCGCGCGTCACGCACCCCGGTGAGGTCCGTAGGCACCTCGCTCCCGTGACGGTCTCGATTGCACCCACCAGCACCGCCAGCGCCGCGGCGGCAATGGCGGCGTCACTGCCGTGGCCTGAGGCTTGCAAAGGGCTGAGCCTACCCGACGGGCGCAGCTTTGAGTGGCTCTTCCAGGTGGCGCCATCCCCTCCTCCCGCCTCCCTGCCCGCGCCTCCCGCGCCCGGCGCGTCGATTCCACCTCGCCACTCTCCCGACCCCCGCAGAACGACCCCTCGCTCTGCGGCCTGCCGTGCATCGCGACGGAGCCGAGGTCGCCGTGGCGCATCGTCGCCGTGTCGCCCGCTTGGTCCGCCTCCGCCGCCGTCGCTCGTCTCGCCTTTCCTCCCCCCCTTGACAGCCGCCTGCCTCCCCCCTCCCCTCCTGCCAGGTGCGATGCGACCGGCTTCACCGCGGCAGAGGCCCGCCCGCCCACCGCCTTGCCCCCCCCCCCCCCCCCCTCTCCCGCCTCGGCCCTAACCGTCTCCCTCCTGGGCCACAGGCGGTCGGCGAGACGTGCCAGCTGCTGCAGCGGCCCGAGACGTGCCGCATCGCGCTGGCGGCGCTGCGGAAGGCGTGCCCCTCCCCGCCCTACCTCCTCGCCCCTCCCCCCTTACCTCCTCCTCCACCCCTCCTCCTCCACCCCTCGCGGCACCGCCAACCCCCCTCCCCACCCGACCCGCCTCCAGGCGTGCGAGGAGCGCACGCCGCTCGTGCTGCGGCTGCTCAACCAGGACAGGCAAGGCGTTGCCTTTTGCAACTTTTTGCGCGTCGCGCCGGTGCAGAGGGCCGGCACTAGCGAGCCCGCCTGCCTGGTGGGGCTCATGACGCGCGAGGAGCTCGTGGCCGTGCCGGGAGCAGAGGGGGTGCACGCGGAGCCGCGCGTCGCGGCGCCTCCGCGTTGCGCCGCCGCCGCCGCCACCAAGGCCGTCTCGGCCCTCGCCGAGGTTGCGGCGCTCGCCTCCCCGTCCACGCCGCCGACGCCGCGCACGGCAGCGATGCCGCCGCCGCCGGTGCCGCCGCCGCGCCTCGCCGCGGCGGTTCGCCAGGCGACGATGCGCACCCGCTCAAGCGTCAGCGCCACGGTCGTCGCTGCGGTCTCCGAGGCTGCCTCGCCGCCGCCCCTGCAGCAGGCAGCCTCGCAGCAGGCAGCCTCGCCGCAGGCAGCCTCGCCGCCGCCGGCCGTCGTGCCGGGCTTGCAGGCGCCGGCGGCCAGCGTCGCCGCGCTCGGGGCGGCGGCGGTGGCGGTCGCTTCCGCCGACTGCTGGAGCGCCGGCGAGCAGTTGCTGGATCTTCGCAGCTCCGGCGACAGCTCCTCCTCTTCCGGAAGGAGCAGCAGCAGCCGCAGCAGCAGCAGCAGCCGCAGCAGCCGCGGCAGCCGCAGCGGCGGGGACGACGACGCCGGAGGGCGCAGCCGCAGCCGCAGCAGTCGCGCCACCGCCGCCACAGCGGGCGGCGGAGGCCGGCCGGCTCCCTTCCTGACCAAGCTGCAGCAGATCCTCGAGTGCGACGACGCGGCGCACGCCGTGCAGTGGGCGCGCAGCCCCGACGGCGACGCTTTCGTCATCATGGACCAGCCGGCCTTCGCCAAGGAGGTGCTGCCGCGCTTCTACAAGCACAACAAGCTCTCCTCCTTCGTGCAGCAGCTGTACACGTACGGCTTCCGCCGCGCCGACCGACACACGCTGACGCTGCTCCCCTCGAAGACAGCCCCCGCGCCGGCAGCGCGCGGCGGCAAGCCCGCCGGCGGCGGCAAGCCTCCCGGCGGCGCCCTGGCCTTCCAGCACGAGCACTTCTTGCCGGGGCGGCGCGACCTCCTCGGATGCATCAAGCGGCAGGCGGGTTCGTCGCGCCAAATCACGGAGGGGGGCGACGGCGTTCCGGCCGCCGCGGGCGGTGCGAGCTCGGAGAAGCCCGGCAACGGCCCTCCACGGGGCAGTTCGAGCAGCTGGCAGCTGATCGAATTGACACGCCTTGCTAACTTGAGTAGGCAGCGAGCTCGAGAAGGAGCTCGATGCGCTCGAGGCGGCCATCGCGGAGCTGGAGCGCGCGCACCGCTCCAAGGTGACGTGCGACGTGCAGCGGATCGACATCCTCTGGCACATGGTCGCGCTCCGCCAGCGCGAGGCGTCGCATCTGGTCGTGCCGCCGGCCGCCGCCGCGGCGGGCTCGACAGCCGCCCGGCCGCCAATGTCGTCCGTCCTCTCGTCGCGTCTGTGTTTGCCGCCCGCTTCGTCTTCCTCGAGCGGCGCTGCACTGCCCCACGCGGGGAAGGAGCAGCCCCCGCCTGCCGCCATGGCGTCCAACCCCCTCGGCGGCATGGCGCATCTCGCCCAGCTGGCGGCGGAGCAGGCTGCGGTCGCGACCGAGCGGCCACCCAACAAGCGGCCGTTCTCACCCGTTTCCAACGACGCGCGCCCCGTGCGGCCGCGGCACGACCGAGTGTCGGAAGGCGGCGCCGCTGCGAGCAAAGGCGTGCCCGCCGGCTCCGCTGAGCGCGTGCCGGCCAAGGGTGTCGAGGCCGCCGAGGAGGTGTGCGCGCGGTGTAGCACGCACGCACGTACGCACGCGCGCACGCACACGCACGCACGCACGCACGCACGCACACACACACACACACACACACACACACACACACACACACACACACACACACACACACACACACACACACACATCCACCGCCGCCACCACGCCCACCAACACTCTCACCCCGCGCTCGCCTCGCCGCAGCGCTCTCGAGTGGCCGAGCTGCTGGGGCCGGCTGGCCCTCAGCGCGAGTCATCGCCGCACGATTCGGTCGAGTTTTGATGCGGTGCTGCGCTTTCTCGACCGCTAGATGGATCCATGTTGTGCGCGCTTTGTATCGCCTCTCCCTGTGCTCTCTCCCTCTCCCCCCCATGCGCATGTCGGCATCTGCCAAGCCGCTAGGCGACGCCGTCCGCCTTCTGCGGAAGTGGGTGGCGTTCTGGTTTGGCCGCTGTTCTCCGCCGGTCTCCACTGCCGAGGAATAGAAGTGCGAGCCTTACTGTCGGATCTCGAGCGGGGGTACTGGTCTGCGGTCTGCACTGGAGCGAGAGTCGTCTGTGATCTTGTCCACTTTTTGCGTCCCGTGAATTATGCTGTTGTTGTTGTCTTCTCGACGCTTGTGCCGGGGCCTACAAGAACGACCCTCGCCGCGCTCCGGAGATATATCTCGTAGATCTCATCGTCTGGAAACACAACGTTAGAATCAAAATATCTCCTCTGTTCTAACACACCGGCACGTAATCAGAACCCCAATCTCGAATCTGTATACACATCTCGAGAGAGCGGCTGCCAGAGGCAGAGCGTATGTGTACGTCGACGTGTGTAATCACGCCGTGTCCCCACAATGATTCCCTGCGGGCCACAAAGTGTGAGCAGTCGGAGAACCGCACTCTTTTGAAACATGGTGAAACCCCAACCCCCAGCACAACATGATTTTCAGAGAGCACCTCTTTTAAACGTATAACTTGCCTGCTCACAACGGCAATGCCCGCCGGTCCACTTCGAACGGCTAAGGGGCTCGATTCACCGTGAAAATCCCAACCCGCCGCCACCACCAAGCGCAGACACCTTGTCGCCAAGGTATTCCAGTTTCGACGCAAAGTCGAGCAGCATTGACGCCGCCGGGGACGACGGTGGAGGTGACGGCGTCGGCGGCGGCCGAGGGGGGGGAGCCGGCGCCGGCGGCGCCTCTGGCGGCGACGGAGGCAGTGGCGGCGGGGGAGGCGGAAATGGGACAGGTGGCGGCGGAGGCGGGCGCGTCTTGTGGGCTGGGCATTCCGTGTTTGGGAGGACAGCTCCACAATGGCAGCATGTGATTGCGCTGTCCTCCATCGCATCGCAGCTGCGACGGGATCCCTTGCCATTGGAGAACCGGATTCCCCCGTCGGGCAAAGAGGTTGTCGTCCTCAAACAAGCGTCAATGTCAAAGCCGAGGGGTCCAGACCCGCCGTCTAGGTTACCGGCAACCTTGATTGTGGCGTAGAGGAAGGCGCAGTCAATCACAGTCCGATCCCCGCAGGTCCAGTCGGCTCCTGGGACAACAACATGGCCCCCACTTCCTGGCGGCAGGTCGCAATACACCTCTCGTGTTTCGGGCTGGATGTCGGTCATCAGAGTCGGAGCGCAGTAGCCATCCTGTAGCAGCGTCTCCTCACTGACCTTGAGACACAGCTGGCAGGCCCACGAGATATTCCTCACAGTTGCACAGCGCCTGTCAATCTCTACAAAGCATGCCTCAGCGTCCAGCCAGCGGGCAGCCGCAGCCGGGGGAACCAGGACGTTGAGAATCTCCGGATCGGCCACGAGCGCCAGCAGCACCGCGGAGAGGATGTTGAGCCCCGCAGCTGCAGCGCAGCACACAAGCAGGCCGGCCGCAAGCGCGACGGCGAGACGGCACTTCACCGCGCGAGCAAACACCGGGCTTGTGTCCATCGAGGTCGCCAACGAGTCAGTAAAAGTCGCCCGGATTCGAACCTTCGTTTCTCCCCCCCACCCCCCTCCTCGATCGACGGTGATGGCGTTGTGACCGATCGAGCTACAAGAGGAGCTTGTTCGGCAGGATCCGGGGTGGGTCGAGCAGTTCTCACTTCCTCAATGGGTGAGCTTCAGGTCTCAGGCAAACCTTCCTTCGAACCTTCCCCCTTTGAGCACTTGATAGGGTCGATTCCGCATGGTACGGGACCCCTCGATCGTCTCGCCCACCCTCTCACTGGTGTGTTCATCGGGGGGGGGTCATAACAAACACGGTGCAGGATCGAGGTGCACGCTGCCAAAGCAGTGTCGTCCCCCCTCTCCCCGACGGCGATGGCGGTGTGACCGATCGAGCTACAAGAGGAGCTTGTTCAGCAGGATCCGGGTTGGTCTGGCGCACTACCTCACTGGGCCTGAGACCGCACGACGCTTCCCGTCACCGTCTCGGGTTTGTGCGGGATCGAACCACTCCGGGATGGGCAAGCCCATCGTTTTGAGTTGTGCCTTTCCCTCACCAATTGGTTAATTGTCAAAATTCCTGTGTGCAAGAGGGGAGAGGGCTCTGACGGAGTGTGTGGCGGGAGAGGGCAGGGAAGGGGGGGGGGGGGGGGCTCAGCCGTGCAAAAAGCATCAATTAATAATATTAATAAGAAAATTGCTCGGCCGTTCATTCATGAAGTCCGTCTCGATCGGGATCAACCCCGTGAGGACCAGATCAGGTTCACATTGTCGTAGCCGGAGGGGATGTTGACCTTTAGCTCTTGGAGCCAACCTTCCGCTTTGGTTTTTTGGCCCACAAACCATTCGGCCAACTCTTACCAAATGCCAAAGTTGCACTTTACCACTCGGGCAAATTCGATTGCATTTTACCACTCGGGCAAACTCGATGAAACGGCGGACGGAGAAAATGCGATCGCGGCCGCTCGCCGGAGAGCTATGCATGAAGCGGCCGGCGCGCCACCGCAGCTCACCAATGGAGCTTGCGCCGCGGCTCAATCCACAGGCGCAGCAGCATCGCGACTCATTCTCCGAGCGCGGCCTCTGGCGTTGCGAGTGCACAGAGAGCGAGCAATTGTTGACAAAAGCACTGATCTGTGGGCAGCAGATCTCCATGTCGGTCGCGCCCTGCGAAAGGACAACCGCGGGCCGCGGATGCTCGCCCGGACGCGGACCCGCCGTGCGAGTTGCAGACCCGGAGGAGGCCGACCCAGCTCACCCCCAGAGAGGCCATGCCCAGGATCAGCCATAAGAGGGGGGGCCGTTTCCGTCCGTGCGTCCACACACACTGCCTTGCCCCTCACCTTCGGCTATGTGGGTTCGAACCACCGCCGGGATGGAAGCTTCCTGCTTCCATCTTGAGAGACAGCGCCGCCCTTCACCTGTATCAGAGCATCAGGGGTCGTGTGGTGCTGTGTGTGCTTCCGTTGTATGGAGGAGGAGGCAGCGCACTACCTCGGTGGTACGTGTTCAAGCGATCTCAGGCCCAGTGAGGTAGTGCGCTAGGGCCTCACCTGATCATGCTGAACAAGCTCCTCTTGTAGCTCGATCGGTCACACCGCCATCGCCGTCGGGGAGAGAGGGGACGACACTGCTCTGGCAGCGTGCACCTCGATCCTGTACCGTGTTTGTTATGACCCACCCCAATGTGCGATGAACACATCAGTGAGGGAGGGCGAGACGATCGAGGGGTCCCGTAAACCCGTACCATGCGGAATCGACCCTATCAAGTGCTCAAGTGCTCAAGGAGGAGGCAGAAGGGGGGGGGGGGGGGGGTCTTAGCCGGGCGGTAGACTTTTGCATAGCAACTTGTGGGCGTGCGACACGTGCGCATTGACAGACTCCCTCAGTCGCCCCTTCCCTTCAGCCTTTTGAACCGCCGCCCCCCTTTGCTTTGCTGTGCACACCCCGCTTCTTCCGCCCCGCGGAGGCCCCCCCTGCCGGCCCCCCCGATCCCCCATCTCCCCAAACACGCCCCCCTCCTCCCCACCCTCCACCCCCACCGCCTCCCTCCTCAGTCGGGTCTCTCCCCCTCTTACTCCCCCGCTCCCCCACCCCGCCCACCCCCTCCTCGTCCATCCCGCCCCCCTCATCGCCTCCCCCATCCCCGGGTCTCGAGTGTGAGAGTGTACTGTTTCTCCGAGTAGAGGGGGCGCTCCGCCGCTAGGGGAAACCCGCGCGGACTGACCCTCGGAGAACCGTGTTTACTTCCCCTGCGAACGCGCACCCCCCAGGGCTAGGGCTCTCTTGCCCGCAACCCGTCCCCGAGCATCTGCGATCAGGCCCGCTGGGTGCGCTTCTTAGCTCCCCGGCCCTGGATGTGAGGCTACCACTCCAAGTGCTCCAAGTGCTAGCCCGGGCCTTGGCAACCCGCCTTGGCGGCGCGCGGCGCGGCGACCCGACCCCCAAACGCCCGAAAGCGGAGAAAGAGGCACGGCCAGCCGCTGCTGGTGCTGCTGCGGGGGTTAGCTTGGCCTCGGGCCGGTAGGATAGGCCGTTGTGAAAAGCGTTATATTGAAGGCCCTGGGTATTGTGGGTATTACGTGTCATATTTCTCATTATACATAACATTTTTATAACCATTATTCGAGGCAAATATATCGCAAAACACATATATTATACATAAACTAATAAAAACAGACACCTCTCTCAGGAGATGGGTTAAAAGGAGCATGGCCCCGCCCATGTGACGTCGATACACCTCTCTACGGTTTCATGTGTGATATACTGGGTCGAGTACTCTGTCCATCGTCCACATGGACCATGCGCGGCGTTGTGAGTCATGTCCGTTGTCCGGGACCACGAAACCACCCTCCCCCGCGCTACGAGGCGAGCAACGCCGCCACCCGGCCGACCCATTCCCTCTGCCGCTCGTCGAAAGCGTCGGAGCGCTCCGAGACGGCGACGAGCACCTACAAAAGGAAGTTGGGAATGAAGGAAAACAGCACGGCCAGGCACGCCTGCGACACGACGGCTCTCACCTAGAAGCGCAAAACGATGTGAGACCCGGAAGACGTACAGCGGAGGGGGAAGGCGGCGGGAGGAAGGCCGCGTCGTCGCCGCATCGCTGCAGCACCGCGGACCCGGCGGTCTGCGGGAGCGCGAGGTCCTTCGCGGCGACGGCCGCCTGGGGCAGTAGGAGGGTCCGGACCTGCTCTTGCACAGCCAGGCTACGCCTCGCATCACTCCACGTCCCGAGACAGGCGAGCCCCACGGCATTGAGAGTGGGGTCGGCAGTGGTGGCGGAGGGGGGGCAGGGGAGAGGGGGGTGCTGTCGCCTCGGGCACGTACAGGCCGCCACTCTCTGCGAGCGACGCCGCCAGCGCCTCTCCGCTCGGTAGCGCCGCCGAAGAGGGGAGCCGCCTATCGCGCAACCACGTCACGCTCGCCGCAGTAGCACGCCAGCCATGTGCAGGGGGGCGGCAGGGGCGCAGCCCGCCCGCTCCGCAGCAGCGGCTCTACGCGCGCGCCGCCGCCGCCCGCCGCCCCTCCCGGCAGCGCGTACAGCGCGACGGCGCTCGCCGCCGTCTGGCGGAGGAGAGTGGCCGCGGCCCACCTGTTCACAGCTCCAGCTGTGAAGAGGGCGGGCGGGCGAGCGGAGGAGAGCGGCGGCAGCCCACTGCGCGCGGCTCGAGCGGGAAGCGTCGAGGGCGGGAGAGACCTGGAGCGGTTGAGCATCCATGTGTGTCATCATCTCTTTGTTGGTGAGCGAGGCGGCGGGGGCGGCAGAGACCTCAAGCCGCTCCGACAGCCGCGCTGACGCGAGGGCGCGAGCCTGCTCCGCCGCCTGAGAAAGACAGAGCTGCGGATGAGAGAAGAGGAGGGCTGTTGACAGATCGCGGCAGGCTCCTCCGCCGCCTCGTCCCGCCCCGCCTGCGCCTCGGCGGCGACCTGCAGGAAGGGTCCGAGAAGGTTCCGAGACGCTCTGCACGCCATGCAGCGCCGTTGCAGTGGCCTGCAACAGCAGCTGGGCGCACGCCGCCGCCCCGAGCGCCTAGGCGGCGCCACTCGACATCTCTCTTGCCTGTCTTGCGCTGCTGTCGCAGCGAGGTGAGCGCGCCTCGGAGACGAGCTGCGAAGAGGCGGGCTCGCCGGGCGAGGCGAGGCGGTTGGCGACGAGGGCGAGGCCGAGCACGCTCGCCGCCAGCAGCTTCAGCCGGAAGCCCTCCAGGCCAGGCACGAAGAAGGCACCACCCTTCTCGACCGCCGCTGAAGGCCGGACGTAGAAGCCGTCGCTCTTGCCGCGAGGCCGCTGCGGGAGATCGCACAGGCGAGGCGCAGCGCGTGGCGGCCGATGGCGGCTCGGGAAGGGCCGCTGCTCGGCCGGGCAAGAGGCTGGCACGCGCAGCGCGGCGGCGGTCGCGAGCACCAGCGACATATGTGTACACACCTGGCGAGTACAGACCACGCCTGCTATTCACATAAACGCACAACTCCGGACCCAAGACGCACAAGCACAGACAGTCGAGAAGGGGGAGAGACAGCAACGACAGTCAGAAGTCAGCGCTGGGTCCCAGGAAGGCGAATGCGATGACGGCCTCTAGTGTGAGCTCTAGCTAGTGAGCTCATACGCACGCCGGCAGATCGCGACTATATACAGCTAGTTAAGAGCCGACCGACCCTCGCGTCCGGTGCTCACCGACGGCCGGGCGGGCCGCCCGCCCACGCGCCGCCTACGCGCAGCGCGTGCGCCGCAAACTCGCCCGCCGACAGCGCTGGCCAGTCTCCATCGGCCGTCGCGAGAGGCCTGCCCGGCTGTCGCCGCGGGGCCCCCACGAACACCACGCGTCGGATGCGGTGCCGCGCGAACTCGCGCGCAAAGTGCACGCCCCACGCCCGCCGCAGCGTCGTAGCGAAGTAGGACCGCGCCTCCTTCGCGCTACGCGCGCCGATCCGCCTCCAGTGCTGCTTGGATGCCGACTCCACCACACAGTCGAACAGCTGGTGCAGGTCGTCCGACGCCTCCGCGTAGGCCCCGACAACGAGGCTGCGCACGGTGCCAAACGAGCGCAGCACGGAGGAAACGGCGTCCCTCGAGCCGTTGTTCCATGCCTGCACGTGCGGCTTGGCATCGAGCGCCGCCGCCCGCGCCTCGTAGTCGCGCTGGACAAGGTTCGCCCTGTCGGCGACAGCGCCGCCCTGGCCATCGTCGCGCGCCCGAGCGCTCATGTAGTGAGGCCCGCCGCGGTGGATGGTCTTGCCCTCGAGGAGGTGCTCCGCCGGCGGCTGCTCGGGCCCGCGCTGCACTGTCGTGCCGCGCCACCGGACAGACGGATGCGCCTGGCCTCGTGTGCCCGTGCAGCGCGCCGTGCGGGACTCGCGCAGCTTGCAGTGCAGGCGCCCATCCGGCACGATGCCGTTCTTGCCGCGCGTGCCAGCTGTGCCGTTGAGTGTGACAGGCGGGATGACGGCGCTGAAGATCTCGCGCGGTTCCTCCTTGCCGCGCAGCCCCGCGTGCAGCGCATCACCGATCACGCGTGAGAAGATGTCGTCGTGGCAGTTGCCGTGGGCGCGGTCGTTGAGCGTCGCCAAGCCCAGCTGGACGCCAAAGGCATCGCAGACTCGAGGAGGGCCGCGGCCGGAGCAGGCGATGCTCTTGCCCACGAGCGCGCGCACGGCTGGGCTCTCCCGGCCGAGGTAGGTGCAGAAGATCTCGCGGAACTCGCGCGCCTCGCACCGGTTCTGAGCCGAGGGCCATGAGCTCACCCACGCGGACGAGGACGAGTCGACGGCCAGCCACGCCTCCCGCCGCGTGTCGCCGTGCGGCAGCCCGAGGATGCTGCGGCTGAGCTGGTTGCGCTTGACCTGCTCCCGCTGCTGCGTCAGCTGCCGCTGTAGCCCAGCGCTGCCGGCCCGCCCGTTGCCAGCCTCGGGAGCCCGGACATCGAGAGGTCCCGCCACGCCCTCGCCGCGGACCTCTCGCTGCATGCCCTCCCACGCCTTCTTGAAGGACTCGCCCGTCGGCGTCAGCTGCCCCAGCTGCGCGCCGAGCGGGTTGACGTTGGTGGTGCAGCCCGAGAGGAAGCGCGAGAGGCGAGGGCTGTTCGGGTACGGCAACTCGAAGGCGCCGTGGCCGAAGAGCGGAGCGAGCATCTGGAAGAAGCCGCGCTCTCTGCCGCCGCCGGGCGTCGACCTGTCGAGGAACCTCTCGGCCGCCTCGACAAAGCAGGCGCAGAACGCAGCCGGCGCCACCTCCTCGAGCGAGCGCAGGCCGAGGCCGCGCATCCGCGCAGGCAGGCGAGCCCGCCGCGCGGTGATGGCGTCGCCGAGCACGCCCTCGTAGCCGCACGCCTCAGCGGCACGGGTGAGCGCAGCGTCGACGACGCGAGCGTGGGACACCGTCTTGTCGGGAGGGAGGTGCCGAAGGATGAAGTCGAACTTGGCGGAGCAGGAGTAGTAGATGGCGGCCCACAGCGCGTGGGGGCTCGCAGCACGTAGCGAAAGAACTGTCTTGTCGATGTAGCTCACGATACTGCTCACCTGGGCGCGTAACCACGCATCCACAAACCCTGCCTCCCCCATTGGGCAGCCCGCGACCATCACGCCTCGGTACGTCCGCGACCCGCCATCCTCCTCCGGCACCAGCACCATGCCGACTGGCGCGCCCAACGCCTCCCGCCACAGGCAGTGCGAGAGGTTGTACTCGGGAGAGAAGCACTCGAGCTTCGAGACCTGCATCTCGAGGTTGAGCGACGCCTTGACCGCCTCGCCAAAGCGCTTGACCGCCGGGAACACGGCGGCCGCCGGTCCTAGCGCGAAGATGTCGTCCATCTCCGCCCAAGCCCCGCCACCGAACGGCCTCAGCTCGGCGTCGAGGGCAGCCAGCTCCGGCTGGATGGCGATGCAGAAGGCGCCGCTCGATGGAGGCCCGCCCTGCTGCGTGCCGGTCGCCGAGTCGCCGCCACGCGACGTCTCAGCGCGGCACGTCTGCCCCTCGAGGTGGTGCTGCTCAAAGAGCCGCGTCCGCTGGGGCCCGACGAGCAGGCTCGTCGCGGACATGAGCGTCGCGTGAAGAAGCGGCATGAACGGCGCCAGCTCCGGCACCTCCGAGCAGCGGCGGAGAAGCGCCGACCGATCGATCTCGTTGTACGCGTTTTTGAGGTCGATCTTGACGAGCACAAAGTCGCCTCGCTGCTCGAGCAAGATGCGGATCCCGTTGATCATGATCGAGATTCCGCCCGAGACTCCTACCGCCACCTGCTGTGGCGCGAGCACGTCCGCCATCGCCGGGGCCACGCTGGCAGTCACCGAGGTGAGGATGGACCGCAGGGTGACCTCGCCCACCGCCACTGGCCGCACGTCAGGCTGTCGCATGGCCTCCACGTCGGCCTGCGTGACCGCCTTCTTGACGAGAGGCATCAACGAGGCGATCGAGGCGGCGCCGTAGAACCAGGTCGGCAAGTCCCCGCTGGCGAGCTCCGAGGCGAAGGCATCGTACTTCTGCATGACGCTGTCGGCCTTGGCGTCGTCGAAGGAGTGGGTGAGCACCCTGAGGTACTCGTTGCGGTTGCCCGAAGGCCCGGTGCCCGCGCGCCGCCGCAGCTTGCGGAACGTCTCGGTGAGGCTCACCCGCACCGCCGGGACCTGCACGGGCAGGTCGTGCGGGACGGGGCGATCGCGCTCCGGGTGCTTCCTGCGCAGCTGCAGGAGCACGGAGGCCGAGAGGTCGGCAATGCCCAGCGAGTGAAGCATCCGCATCGCGCGAGAGATCTCGCCGTCCGCGAAGAGCGCGAGCGCCGCGGACACCGCTGCCGAGCGCTCTCGCTCCGTCCGCTCCTCGAAGCTCTCGCGGCGATGCGCGCTCCAACGCCGAGCCGACCACGCTCTGGTGCGATCGGCCTCCCAGGCGCAGAGGAGGGCGGCCCGCTCGCCGTTGCGCCACCGCTGGAAGCGCAGGGCGAGAGACGTCGACACGTCGATGGAGCGACCGCCGCCCCGAGAGGTGCGCGCCGGCCCTCGCAGGAGCACGTCATGCAGACATAGTTGCCACTTGAGCCCGCGCTCGAGCGCCAGCTCATCGCCCGAGCTCTTGGCAGCCTGAATGAAGTCGAAGACGTCGACATTGGCTCTCGCCCACTCGCCTCGCAGCGAATCCGGTATCTCGAGAACGTGACTGCAAGGTGAGACGGCGCACTGGAAGGCGCTGTGCGCGTCAATGCACTCCCACTCGCCTCCCGGCGGCACCGCCGGTGGCGCCCTCGCATCAGGGAGGCTCACCTTCTCCGCCACCGGCGGGAGGGCATCCCATGCGGCCTGGCGCGTGGCGTCCGCGTCTGCCCGCGTTTTGGCCGCATGGCACGCCGCCGAGCGGCCGGCCGCCGCCTCGACGAAGGCCTGGTCGGCCTCCGAGACCTGTGCTTTACACAGCGGGCAGTCCGGTGGGGCCTGCTGGTTTGACCGAGCTCCAAAGGCGCTCCGCAAGCAGCCCGCACAGAAAGCGTGGGTGTGGTGACAGCCAAGCTGGCAGATGGTCGCCGTCTCTTCCACCTCGGAGAAGTCACAGAGGCAGATCCCGCATCTACTCTCGAAGAGCAGTTGCCGGTTCTCCTCTTGCCGCAGGAGCTGGTGCTCGATGTGAAGCCGGAGCCTCTGGCTCCGAGCTTCTTCTTCGAGCACCTCGAGGTAGGACATGGTCGTCCCATCCTCCAGCGGCCGCCCCTCCGCCTCCTCCAACCACCAGCTGTCTGCGGCCCCGTCCGATTGGGGGGGCATCCACTCGCCCTCAGCCTGCGATTGAGCCGCCGCCTCGGCTGCTGCAGCCTCCGCCGCCGCTGCAGCCAGCCGCTCTTCCGCCGCCAGCTGCGACTCAGCGATCCGCGCCAGCCTCTGCAGCCGAGTAGCAGCTGACTCAGCCGGCAGGGAAGGAGCAGCAGACTCAACAGCCTCACGAGCCTGGCTGGCTTGAAGGCGCTGCGAGCGGCGGTAAAGTTGGTCAGTGTTGCTGTCCTCTGTATCACCGCCGCCGCTGCCACCGCCGCCGCCGCTGCCACCGCCGCCGCCGCTGCCACCGCCGCCGCCGCTGCCACCGCCGCCGCCGCTGCCACCGCCGCCGCCGCTGCCACCGCCGCCGCCGCTGCCACCGCCGCCGCCGCTGCCACCGCCGCCGCCGCTGCCACCGCCGCCGCCGCTGCCACCGCCGCCGCCGACGCCACCGCCGCCGCCGACGCCACCATCGCCACTGCCGTCGTCGCCGTCGAAGCTGCGACCACCGCTGGAGCCATCAGAGCTGCCACCTCCAGAGCTCCTAGAGCTCCGAAGGCGGCGAGGGCCGCTGGCTCCACGTCGGCCATCGCCACCACCTCCCCGCTCACCGCTGCGACGTGACATCGCGATATGCGAGGTCACGTGCGCAGCGGCGCTCAGTTAGGTTGGTTGCGTCCGCTGGCTAAGCTTGGTTCGCGGTGGCGGGCGCCATGGCGACTGCACGATGGCAGGTAGGACGCACGTCTCGCTGCAGGCTTACCGCTATGCACAGCACAAGCCCTCGCCGGGGGCTCGAGCATGCGCAGCGAAAAGCACAGACGGATCCCCCCCTGTGAAAAAGTGAGGCGTGGTCTGTACTCGCCAGTGTACACACATACTCGACTATATCGAAAGAAGAATTTCCCCCGCACTGCGCCTGGCGAGACAGCGCAGGTACTCCTGCCGCCGCCCCTGCCACCCCTGTGTCAGTGTGCCTGTGGTAGTGAGAGACTGCCAGCGGGAAGCTGGAGGCAGGTTGCTAGACTGAGATGAGACCGCCAGTGGAGTTGGGAGCCCACCGTGCACCGCGCTGCGAGCCTGTCGTGTCCCTTGTCAAGAGCAGGAGAGCCCCACCTGTGCCCCTTGATCGTCCTTCCAAAATCCTGCTCGTGCAGGTGGGGACCCTGTCCTCCTCCCCCATCCCTCGTCTGGGTTTGGAGCACTTGGAGCACTTGGAGTGCAGTCAGCAACCGCACATCCAGGGCCGGGGAGCTCAGAAGCGCACCCAGCGGGCCGGATGATTGGCATCGGGTTGCGGGCAAGAGAGCCCTAGCCCCGGGGGTGCGCGTTCGCAGGGAAAGGGCCGTAAAGTAAACACGGGTCTCCGAGGGTTGGCCCCGCGTACCGGGTTTCCCCTTAACTGCAGGACGCCCCCTCTACTCGGAGCTAATGAACACCACCCTGCACGCCTCACACGTCACACCACCACTCCACACTCACTCGCGCAGGCACTTGAGTAGACCCCCCGCCTGAGGGCTCACCCCCGGTCTTCCCAGGGTTCCGACCCCCCTTGATTCGTTCTCTTGCTCGTCTCACGAGCGTCATGCGACGGCCGGTGTGGCCGTTTCCCTCGTTGTTGGTGTCGCTTCCTCCGCTGCCGCCCTTCATCTCCGCCAGCTTCTCCCGGCTCCACCGCTTCCGAGGGCGTCGACGGCCCGGCCGAGGTCTCCCCGGGCGAGGGCGGCGGCATTGGGTCGTGTCGCCTCCCCTCCCAGGGAGGTCGAGCCCGCTCTCCCTGGTCGGCGAGTCGTGCCCGCACTCGCGGCCTCTCTATCGTCCTCGGCTCGCCCCTGGGCTAGAGAGCCTTAACCCCTAGGGGGGGTGCGCGTTCGCAGGGAAAGGGCCGTAAAATAAACACGGGTCTCCGAGGGTTGGCTCTGCGCTCCGGGTTTCCCCTAGCAGCGGAACGCCCCCTCTACTCGGAGCTAGTAGACACCAGACACTAGCACGACAACACACCCACTCCTCACCGACACCACCGCTCGGAACCCCCCGCTCCGCACTCGGCCTCCTTACCCCCACTCCGAAGGGGATCCTCCCTCCCCTCGATCCTCCCTCCTGTTCGCCTTCCGATGGTCACGCGACGATTGCGGGGCCCGACCTCCCCTTCTAGCCTTTTTCGGCCGCGGCCCCGCCACCGCCTCGTCCCCTCTGCCCGACCTTGTCGACCCCGCCGACGATGTCGATGATCCCGTGCCCGACCCCCCGGGTAAGGGCGGCGGTATTGTGCCGTGTCGCCACCCCGCCCATGGAGGTCGGGCCGGCTCTCCCTGGTCGACGAGTCGCGCCCGCATCCGCGGCCTCTCTATCGTTCTCGGCTCGCCCCTCCCCGAGGTAGGTAGGTAGAAAGGTGAAGAACAGCCAGGCTCGGACTGGACACCAACGCGGTATGGGTGGACGCTAGACAGATGATGACGACACGCACGACGGCGACACACAGACACAAACAGGCTCACAAGACACACAGCCAGCTGGCTGCCACACACCCTGAGTTGGCGTACACATAACTCAAGGCCACATCCTCCCTGTCGCCCCCCCCAGCACTCCAAGGTGCCAAGAGAAACAAACAGGGCACAACAAACAACAGACGACAGGAAGTGATTAGTGATATGTGAGGCTAGAGCAGCTTGCTCCACCTCTAGCAATCTCGCCGGCCGGCGAGGCACGGACGAGACCGTGTGTGGGGTCTAGTGAGGTGTCTATGGACGCCCTCCTCACGGGCTAGCTGCCTACTGCTAGCCCGGGCTACAGTGGGTTGCGGGCATTAAGAAAACAGGATTCGGCGGCACGCCGCCGTTTCTAAGCCTTTCCACAGCCCTCATCCACCCCACGCCGTGGTTTCTTAGCTCCGGCCGGCCTCCTAAGGATTTTAGGTCAGAGGTAAGCTGCGGTCCGCGAGGGCGATGCCAGAGTCTGCCGCCGAGTCGGCTCTCTGGATGACGGGAAGACGCACACACGCCTCCATCTCCACTCCACTCAGAACACCGTAGACTTGGAAAGTGACAAGTGCGCGCGCCGCAGGCGAAGAGAAATTTTGAGCTGGGGCTCCCGTTCACACTCGAGACTCGTGCCTGGCCTTTTCTCGGGGCCGCGCCTGCGGCGCGCCGTGGTTTCTTAGATTTTTGCGGAAATCTCTTGGTAGGGTTTCTTAATGCGACGTTTTCTTAATGCCCGCAACCCACTGTAGCACTAATTCCGTGCTTTCTCTTTGCTCGACTGTATTGCCCGCTGCTCGGCCACCCGCGCCACGCCACACTCCCTCCATCCCCAACAGCGCTCCCGCCAGCTCCGCCTCTGCCGCCCCAGCTGTCACATCGGCACGCGACAGCTATCGATGGTCAACCGCCGCCCTGGCCTCTCCGGCAAGCAAAAGTCGGCCCTGCTCAAGCAGAAGCGCGCGGAGCAGCAGCAGCGGTCCGCGTCCAACGCCCGTGCAGGCGGAAGCGCCGACGCCGCCGCGCCGGCGGCCGGCGAGGCGGCTGCGAGGCAAATGGTGCAGCAGGTCTCTCGCGGCGGCGACACGAATCGGCTGTCGACCGCCTTCGTGCGCGAGCACGACCAGGCCGTGCAGGCGCGCCGGCTGCGCGGCTCCGAGCCCTTTGGCTGCGCAGCGGCCGCGGCGGCGCCACTCGCGTTTGAGCCGGCCGGCGAGAGCCTGGGGCTTCCCACGCGGGCGCGCGTCGAGGGCGCGAGCGCGGCAGCTCAGGAGGCTGCCGAGCGAACCGCCTTTGAGGCGTGGCTCGCGTCGGTCCACGGCGGCTGCCGCGCCGACGCACTCTCGCCCTTTGAGCACAACTTGGAGGTGTGGCGCCAGCTGTGGCGCGTCGTCGAGCGGAGCGACGTCGTCTGCATCGTGGCCGACGTGCGGAACCCACTGCTGCACGTGCCCGCCGCGCTGTACGAGCATTGCGCCGCGCGGCCCTCGCTGCGCCTCGTCATCGTCCTCTCAAAGGTCCGGCCTCGTCTCGCAGCGTGGCGGCTGAGCAGCCGCGTCTCTTCACGCCTCCGCGCGTGAACAGGTCGACCTCATCTCGCGCGAGGCGCTGGAGCGGTGGCGTGAGGCGCTGTCCCGCCGCTTCCCGCGCGCGCGGCTCGCCACCTTCTCCTCCAAGGGCAGGGAGGTCGGCGGCTCGCTAGGCGGAGGCGTCGCCTCGCGCCGAAAGGCGCTCGGCGCGCCGCTCTCGGCCGCGGGGCGACGCACGGTGCGCGAGTACGTCGAGGGCGTCGCAGAGGCGTGCGGCGTCGTCCTGCCGCCGCCCGACGGCGAGGCGGAGGGCGCGGGCCGGCGTGCGGCGGGCGCGGCGGCCGGCGGGGAGGGCGGGGAGGAGGAGGAGGAGGGCGAGGGCGAGGAGGAGGAGGAGGAGGAGGGCGGCGAGGCGGGCGACGGCGGCGAGTCGGCCGACGAGGGCGGCGGGCTGGTGGCGGTGGAGGAGGGGTGCGAGGGGGAGGGCAGCGACGAGGAGAGCGACGGCTCGGACGAGGACGAGGACGACGACGACGACGAGGACGAGCACGCGATGCTGCGCAGGATGGTTGCGGGCGTGGGCGTGCGGCCGCGAGGCGAGCCGGCGCGGGCGGAAGAGCCTTCTGGAGAGGGCGAGGGTGGCGGGGAGGAGGAGGAGAAGGGCGAAGGGCGGGGCGAGGAGGCCGAGGAGACGGCGGCGGTGGCGGCGGGCGGCGGCGCGTGCGAGCGCGACACAGTCACCGTCGGCTTCGTGGGCCATCCAAACGTGGGCAAGACGTCCCTGCTCAACGCGTTGGTGGGCCGCAAGGTTGCATCGGTCTCGCGCACGCCGGGCCACACGAAGCACCTCCAGACGTGGGAGCTGACGCCTCGCCTCACCATCTGCGACTCGCCCGGCCTCGTCTTCCCCGTTGCCGGCGTGCGCGTGCACGGTGTCGACGCGAGCGCGCGCGCCGTGTACGAGTGCTGCGGCCTCTTTCCGATTGCGCAGGTGCGCGAGGCCCTCTCGGCGGTGCGGCTGCTCTGGCACGCGCTCGACTTGCCGCGCATGTACAACTTGCGCCCCGCAGAGCTCGACGACGACGAGGACGAGCTCTCGCCCTTCGGCTTCTGCGCCGCGCTCGCCGAGCGGAAGGGCTACCGCCTCGCCCGCGGCCGCGGCGCACTCGACATCCACCGCGCGGGCCTCGAGGTGCTCAAGGATTGCGTGGACGGCGCTGTCTGCCTCGCGTTTGCGCCGCCGGCCCCTGCTGCTGCCGCGCCAGACCCGCGGCCGACAGGGTGATGAAAGCTCTCTACGCAGTCGCGTGTTTGTCAGAGTGAGTTTTCGCGTGTTTGCCAACTCAGTCTCAGAGAGTGAGAGTTTGCGCGGTCATGTACAGAGTAAGTGTAAGACGCTCCCAGTAACATCCATAAACATGACTGTCGCTCCCTGAGAGGCCAGATCGGAGAGCGTCGGCGCCGAGAGAGGCGGCCGCGCGCACGGGTGTGCTCCCCATACGGAGCGACACTCAGCGAGCGTCACCCCCCGCCGCGCGCCGGCCCCCCGCCCGCCGCCCGCCGCCCGCCGCGCCCCGCCGCCCGCCTGGCCCCAGGACCTTCGTGCCACCGCGCACCGGCACTCTGCCGCCGCGAGCCCTCGCTGCGCGGCCCCTCCTCCGCTGGACTCTCGCATGCGCAAAAGTCAGTCCCCTTCCAACATGCGCGACGAGACGAACAGTGGATTAGATCGGTGCAGGGGCTCGTCTGCTCGGGTCGCAGACGCGCGCCGAGCGGCTCGGACGATCGCGCCCGGTGCAGAGAAGCGGCGGGGGCGCGCTCCGCTGGAGGAGGCGGAGGACGCGGGCCGAAAGCGTCGACTCTCTGCGGCGCTGATCGCCTTGAGAGCAGCCTCGCTATAGTGGCTGGGGAGGAGCCCGGCTGATGAGCTGCGCCGAGACCCCGGAGTGGACTCCGCAGAGCTCCCCGTCCCCGCCCCGTGGCTCCGCGTCCTGCTCCCTCGTCTCGACGGCAGGAGTGACCGCTGCGGGGTCGGCTGGCATGAGGCGGGCGCGGAGGAGAGCTTGCGCCCATCGCCCTCGTCGGCGGTAAGGCACGACAGCAGCCGAGCCTGCTCCGCCTCTCTGTTGGAGGGCTGCAGCATCTCAACCTCCTCGTCCGACGTATCGGCCGCCACCACGCGGGCACGTGGTGATTGCGGGTCGCCCACCGGAGAAGGCTGCGCCGCGTGCGAGTCTTCGCAAGCCCACCGTCCGCCCCGCTTGGACATCCAAAATTCCTCCAGCCGCTTCTCGACCGACTCGTGCTGCAAGTCCTTGCGCGTGATGATGCCAGAGACCCGCTTCATTTTGTCCACCACAGGCAAGTGGCGCACCCCAATCTCGTTGAACATCCGATAGACTCGCGGCAAGGGTGTGAGCTCGCCCACCAAGATTGGCGACGGGTCCATGAATGGGCGCAGGTCGATTTGACGCTCCTTCTCCCGGGGGTCGAGCGCCAAGAGCGCGTGCACCGCGCCGCCGGCTCGCCGACTCCCGCGGCTGCCTGCCGTCTCGCTGCCGTCCTGCGAAGTGATGAAGCGCATGCGCGTCCTGGCCGTCAACGCCCAGGTCCCAATGGTCCAGACTCGCTCTTGCAGCAGCACCAGGAGCTGCCGTCGCTCTAGCATGCCAACGATGTGGCCGCCAACCCCGACGACAGGGAAGCCGTTGTGGTTGTTGGAGGCGAGGATTTGGACAACGTCGCCCACTAGGAGCTGCTCTTTGAGCGTGAGCACCGGCCCTGCCATCACATCGCGGGCCACGAGGGGCTCGAGCACCGCCGGCGGCGCATCCTCGAGCATGGGCAGCCTCATCAGCCGAATCATTCCATCGTCGAACGAGGGCGAGATGCGATCGCCGATGGCCTTTGAGATGGCGAGGGCGAGCATGATGGTAGGGAGCAAGTGCACGTCGTCGGTTATCTCGGTCAGGATCACCGCGATCGTCAGCGTCATCCGCGTCATCCCGCCGAGCACCGCAGTGGCGCCGACCAGCGCCATCACGCCCGGAAAGTCCGTCGCTCCCGAGCCGGGGACTTTCGCGCCGGCGAGGACCTCGCCCGTCAAGCGGCCGAGCACGCCGCCGATGATGATGCCGGGGACAAAGTTGCCCGCGGGAACCGCGATCCCCATCGATGCGATCGCGAGCAGGTAGTACACGGCGAGTACGAGCCCGAGGGTGAGCGGCGGAAAGGGCGGCGTGGCGGACGGATGGCGTGAGAGCAGGTGCTTGATCACGCCCTCCTGCCCACTGTGCATCAGCGTTGCCATGGGACTGTAGTGGCCGGCAGCGCAGTCGAAGCCGTGTAGCGTAATGCTCGCGTGAGCGTCGTCGGAGTGAGCTCCTCCCGAGCCGCATGAGACGGCCTCCGACGACGGCGGGCAAGGCTCGCACGCGGTGGCGACGGGGAGCCAAAAGTACACGCTGAACACGGCCACGCTGAGGAGCACCACCTCGGCGACACGGCCGAATGGGCCCAGCCGCAGCGAATTGCGGCGCCGGTTGATTCGAACCACAAGGTCGTTGTAGAGCGCGCCGAGAATGCCCCCGGCGAGCGAGAGGAGCGCCATCCACACAAATGCGAGTGAGTTGATGGGCGGGGAGGGGCCGTGCGAGCTGCTGCCGAGTCCGAGCACGAAGCCTTCGCTGTGCATCAGCGGGACAAAGTGGATGAACAGGCTGAGCGTCGTCACAACGACGACGGAGCAAATGAAGCTACGCCACGTGAGCTGCGAGGGGCGACAAGCCGGTGAGAAGGAGGAAGGGAATGATGGGATTGTGGAACGGGTGAGCGGGGTAGCAGGCCGGCTCAGGCGAGGGGGGGGGGGGGGGGCTCACATTGGCGCTCCAGGAGGAGCAGACCTCCTCGAAGGAGTACAGGATCCCGCCGAGGGGCGCGTTGAAGGCGGCGGCGACGCCTGCAGCTGCGCCCATGCCGACCCACTCGCGTTGCGGTCGCGGCAGTCGGAGCTCGAGGAAGCGCTCGAGGCCGCAGACCTTGGAGCGGGATACGACGGCGCCAACCATCGCCCCGATGTGCACCATCGGGCCTTCTTTGCCGAGCGGCAGCGCCGTCGCTACCACAAGGGTGATTCCGATGGATTTTGCCACGAGGGCCGGCAGGCTCGCCCACTGCTTGCGCTGATGCACTCCGTTCAGGTAAGCTTTTAGCGCTGGCAGCCCTGAGCCGCGAGCTTGCGGCGCCCACACGGTGAGAAGTGCGGCGACGAGGACGAAGCCGGTGTTGATGGAGACGTAGACGCCGAACGCGGCAAGCCTCCGAGGAGTCTCCTCGATCGGATCTGCGGCCGCCATGGACCTGCGGCTGCCATGACTTTCATCGTGGCTGTCGTGTGCCGCGGTGGCCGCGTGGGCGCTGTCCAGTCGTGGATGCTGGCCCCACATGGCTTGCATCATCAAGCTGTTTGCCTAGTATTGAGCAATCTTAATTTCAGAGCGGGCCCCTATCCGCACGCCTGACCGACTATAGCTGTTCGCCTGGGCGTGCAGCAGCGCGGCAGCAATGATCTGGCTCGCCGCGATGATCGCGATCCCTACCCCGATGAGGCCGACGAGCAACAAGACGACGGCGTGGAATTTGAAGCGGTAGCGCTTGTCGAGGTCCATGCGTCGCTCAAAGTGGATGCGCGACTCCTCGCCGTCGTACCTGTGCCACAGCAGGGATGGGTCGGAGGAGGCCCATGACACATCACACCGGTCGTCGAGGGCATACTTGTATGACTCATACTCGTGGAAGGCCCACGGCGTCGCCGCAGCCATTCCCTCTGGCTGGACGACGTTACTGCGGCGGCCAGTGCGAGCCGATGACCGCCTCCTTCTCATTGACTCGAGCGCTGTCGATCGCGCCCGCTCCTGCATCGCGATGTAGTTGCTCGTCAGCCGCGACGCCTTCTTTGAGAGCCCGTCGGGTGGCAACGTCTTGTCGCGCATCGTTGGCTCGAGCGTTTGGATCGTGATGTTTGCGCCCGAATGGCGCCGGCCGCGACTTGTCATCTCTACGCGCGAGGGCGAACCGTGTGCTTCTCACTCTGATTGGCTCTCGCTAACTTTCGGGCGCGGCGCGGGGTGTGTGGTCGAGCGTAACCGCCATGAGAAATAAGTCCTGCTCTCTAGCGACTCGCGTCTCGCCGAGAGAATGTTCCGACCAAGGACCAAGCCCCTGGAATCAGCAGAATATCTGCCAAACGTCGACACCGACGGCGCTCTTGTCGCGCGCGCTCCGGCCTCCGCCCTCTCCTCTCGCGCTCCCGCGGCCTCCGCCCTCTTTCCTCAAAAAAGGGCTCAACCGCGCCGTGGGCGCTGCCGATTTGGCTTTTGGCATCCAATTTACATTTTTTTAAAGCAAGAGCTCAGCTAGAGCCTAGACGAACCCCAATAAATTATCGAACCCACATGCAAGCCACAGGCTAGCCCCGACTTGCCTACTGCCTCCGGCGCGCAATAAATACTTCGAACCCCCATGCAGCGACCGCGTCGCCCCGACTCATGCACCATCCCCCGCCCTGACCCTAACTTCTGCTGACCCCACTCGACACAAGATGCAGGCAGCGGCGAGCGCTAGGAATAGACCATTCTTCCCGCCACCCTTCGCGCCGGGCGATGTCCCCTCGACGCCTTCATGCTCGAACATGCCGACCGAGCCTCATGCCTGAGCCTCCACGCCGTGCGTCCATTTCTTGTGGATGGCCAGCGCACTCGACTCGAGGAAAGCCTGCGGAGGGAGGGCTTCGCGTCAAGAGCTGCGGCGGCGCTGCGCAACCGCGCGGCGGCGGCGCCTTTCCGCAGAGGTCGCACGTGTGCTCCCTGACGGTGTCGTGCACTCTCATGTGCGTCGCGAGCGCCGCCGGGTTGAGGAACGCCTCGTCGCACTGGTCGCACTCGTATACGCGCCGGCCGAGTCCGACGAGGACGTTGCGCGCGCGCCTAGGTTGCAGGCGAGCAGGTGAGCGAGCGAGCGTCGGCCGCCGGTGCCCCGCTGGCCGCGCGCTTGTGAAGGCCCGACGTCTCCTCGTTGCCGCCGTCGCGCTTCAGGTGCGTCCGCTTGTGCCGCGCGAGGTGGCCGGCTTGCGCAAAGGCGGCGTCGCACCGGTCGCACTTGAAGGGCTTCTCGCCCGTGTGGATACGCCTGACAGGGGGGGGGGGGGGAGTGGACTGCAGCGGGAGTCGCGGGCTCGGGAATGGCAAATGGCGAGCCGCACTTGTGCTCAGTGAGGGCGCCGGAGCGCTTGAAGGCGGCGTCGCACTGGTCGCACTTGTGTGGCCGAATCTGCCGGCAGCGAAGGAGGAGGTGGGGCGGATGCGCGAACAGGGACTGGGAGAGGGGGGGGCGGGGCGCGCGATCGGCCGAGACCGCGCGCGGCGCTGCTGTTCGACAGGGGCGCCGGCGCTGGGCGCAGGCTGCGCGCGCAAGGAGGGAGGCGCTCGCCTGGGAGTGCGTGCGCCGGTGGTCCGCCAGGTACCTCGACTGCGCGAACACGGCGCCGCAGAGCTCGCAGGTGTGCCCGCCCTCGCCCTTGGCCGCCGCCGGCCCCCGATTCACCATCACGTCCGCGATGGAGTTCTCCAGCCCGGCTGATGGCGTGGGAGCCGCCGCGGGCGGCAGCGCGGCCTGGCTGGCCAGCAGCGCGAGGCGGGAGGCGACGACGGCGGGGCGGGGCGGGGCGGGGCGGGGCGCCGGGGCGACCGTGGAGGCGACCACGGGCGGCGGCGGCACGGCGCTCGGAGCAGCCTGCGGAGGCCGCTCGAGCGGAATTGCGTGCACGAGCGGGACGCCCGCCCCAGCGAGGGGCAGGGCCGGCATGACCGCCGAGGCGGTGGAGGCGAGGGTGTGGAGCTGCGGCGGTGCCTCGAGCGCCGGCGCCTCGTCCTCGGCCATCGCTAGGGTCGGCGCTAGCGGGAAGGCGGAGATGGGGACGGCCGCGCAGTAGCAGCTCTGTGGGCTCGCTCGTCCTTCCCAAAGGCGGCGCGTGGCGGCCCTTTCTTTTCGCACTAACAATTGGGCGAGTGTGCGCGTTGGTGTCCAGTCCGAGCCTGGCTGTTCTTCACCTTTCTACCTACCTACCTACCTGTGTGTGTGTGTGTGTGTTCATGGAGGCAACCGATGCGAGTCGACTGGTGTGTGTCGTCGTGGTTTCGTATCAAGAATACTCACTCACACACTAACAATTGGGCTTCAGAAGCAGCGTATCTCGGTCGTTCTTCACACGGCAATCGCAGAGCAGGTAGGTTGTGAATGAGCTTGCCTGTGGCGGGGGCGGGCGGGTGCACGGAGCTAAGTGCCTCGCCGCCCTCGCAGGAGTCGCTTAGGCGGCTCCCGTGGTGTACCTGTGCTAGTGCCTAGTCCCACTTTGCGTGCCAGTCCCCGTGCCCAGTGTCGTGCGAGGGAGTTTTGTTGTAAAATTCTTTTCGCACCGTTCGAGGCCCTCCTGGTGGGAGTCCAAGCAGGAAGTGGTGAAAGGCGGCGTGGTCCGTGGAGACAGCCTTGTGTTTCACTCACTCTGTTCATAGCGCGCACTGGCCTTCTCCTCTGTTCATAACCCACGCTTCGCGTCTTCACACCTCCTCTGCAGGACTCACCCCTCTACGCTCCCTTTTGCAGGATGAGGCGTAGCCACCTTAGTGCATTCGCGCTCCCTTTTGCAGGATCGTGTTAGTCCCTTGAGGTGTTGACGATATTTCCTTCTTTTCGTGTTACGCTTACAAGCCGTCTCCTTGAGTCGCTCTCTCTCTCTCGCCGATGCGGCCCGCTGCGGCGCTCGTCTACCTCGCGAGCGTCGCCCGAGTGGCCGCCATCCAGTATTTACTTTTCACTTTCCTCTTGCCTTTGCCTCACTCCGCAGTGACCAGTGTCGACGGCAGTCTAGGCGGCGCGGCAGCCTCCAGGTTCATGGGTCGAACCGGAAGATAACCGGAGAGGGGAAGAGAGATCGAAAAGAGTAATATGAACTCTATGTCCCTCCTATATGAGGGATGTCGACGAGGATTGAGGTGCGGCCAAGTCTTCTTCCCAAGAGCGGTGGGCGTGGCGGCCGGTCGTGGTAACAGTGTCTCATGCCAACCAGCAACCTCTGAAACATAAAAACTCTGTACGTGAACGTCGCACCGGCCTGAGATGCATTTATTGCTTTCCGGCCCGTCGCCGTCGCGCGCGAGCGCCCCCGTCCTGCTGTCCGCAACGGCCACAAATACTCGTCTCCACCGCCGCGGGGCTCACTTGCCAGCCTTGGCGACGCACAGGCCCTGGTTGTGCATGAAGGAGAAGGTCCCCTTCTCGCGGCTCATCACGAGCGACTCCGCGGCGAGCGTCGCGCGGTGCGTCTTGGAGAGCGAGAAGAGGCCGGGGTACGAGACGCCGTCGAGGAAGGTCGTCTCGCCGACGAGCCTCTCCTTGAGCCTCGCGTCCACCTCGGCGGGCGTCAGCGGCGCGACCAGCTCCGCCGAGTCGGAGGCCATGTGCCAGCCCCACTCGTCGAGGAAGGAGTAGACGGCGTGCTTGTACGCCGTCACCGCGGGGAAGACGGCGCGCAGCGTCGAGTTGATCGGCGACCACACGAGCCGGTGCTGCTTGATGCCCGCCGCGCCCGCCTGCGTCACAAAGATGCCGCCTACAGGAAGGCTCCGAGCAGAGGCTCAGAGGGAAGGTTCGACGGCGCGCCGGCGGCGGCATCGCAGGCTCCGCCCGGGTTGAGCTTGGAGCGGAGCATCTCGTAGAACTCGGTGGTGTAGAGCTGGTAGCACGGGCCGCCCTCGAGCGGGTCGTCCAGGTCCATGATGATGACGTCGAACCCGTTCTGCTCCTTCTCCAGCACCGCCTTTGCGTCGTCGATGATGAGCTCCAGCCGCGGGTCGGCAAAGGCTGCGGCATTCTCGGGGAGGTGGTCCTTGCAAAAGGTCACCACGTCCGCCTGAGGCAGCGCGGCGCGGCGCGTCGGCGAGGCCGGGCGGGACCAGCTCGCCGTGCGGGCGAAGGAGAGGCCGCACGTCAATGTCGACCATCACGCAGCGCTCGACCGACTTGTGCCGCAGCACCTCGCGCGCGGTCGAGCCCTCGCCGCCGCCGCCGATGTAGACGCTCCGCGGGTTCGGGTGGGCAAGCAGCGCGGGGTGGACCAGCGCCTATCCACGCGGGTGCGGGCGTCGCTCGGCCTCGAGCCGATGCGGACGGGTGCGCAAAGCGCGGAGGAGAGAGGCTCAGACCTCGTGGTAGACAAACTCGTCGCACTGCGTCGACTGGATGAGGCCGTCGATCATCAGCGTGCTGCGGCGACGCGGGCGCGTGTGAGCGGCGGCTGCAGCGAGAGAGCTCGCGGCGAAGCGGCGCACACACACCGGCCAAACGGCTCCAAGTCGACAAGGTCGACGGTCTGGAACTCTGACTGCGACGAGTCGAGGATCTTTTTCAGCCTGTACCCGACCCGCAGCCCCGTCTCGATTTCCTCCTCGACCCACTTTGACATTGCTTGCAAGTGAGACGCGCGCCGGAGAGGGCGCTGCGGGGCCTTCGACGCGTCTACGTGCGGAGCTGGCCGCAGGATAGAGGTAAAGAAGAATTTAAGCCGCCGAGCTCTCACAGCAGACTGGCACCGAGTAGAAAAGAAAACTGCCGAACATCTCGGCGCTCTTCGCTCCTGGTCGGTCTCGCTGGTCGGCCGCACGCGTGCGGCTCGCTGATCGGTCGGCGACGATCCGACCGAACATCTTCTTGAGCCTGCCGGCAAGCTGCAATTCGTCTAACGCGTCGAAGCTCTCGATCACTCGTTGCTTGCGCAGCGCATGCAAGCGCGCGGCTTCCCGTCGGGAAGACCGCCATTGCGCCATCGGCTTGCGCAAGCATCCGCACGAATGCGCTTGCACAGGCGCGTGCGCAGGCCGTCGAGGAGCGCCGCCGCCGGCCGATCGCGGTGCTGGCTCGGGCTCTCGGACTCACGGCTCGGCTGGAGGCGCGCGAGGCGGCGGCGGAGAGCTGCAAGCCGCACGAGCAGCGCGGCATCACCGGCCCGCACGGCCGGCTGCTGATCCCGGTTTCGCCAGACACGCCCTTCGTCGCCTCTGCGCTGCGAGCTGCCTTCCAAGGGCTTGGCGGCGAGGCGGCGGCCAGGCAGGCGGGCCTGACGCCTGCGGCGTGGCTGGTCGAGCTCGCTGTGCTGGTTGCGCTCCCTGGAGCCGCAGAGCAGCCGCCGCACCTGGACGTTCTGCCCCGCGATGCGCTCTCGATGGCCACGCTCTTCTTGCCGCTTCAAGAAACCACGGCTGCGAACGGGGCCACCGTGCTCTACCCCGCTCCTCCGTCGGAGGTGGCGGCGCGCTGCGACTGGGACGCGATGCAGCGGGGAGCAGGCGGCGGACGCACCTTCAGCGCAGACGGCACGGACACTGCCGACGACACAGTGGGAGCGGCGGAGGCGAGGATGCGGGCCGAGTTTGCAGAGGATGCCGCGGCGAGCGCGGGTCTCTCGATGCCCGTCTCCTCCCCTTGGACGCGCTTCTCCAAGCCAGCGCTCGGGCTGGGCACACCTCTGAGCATGGCGCTGAAGGCCGGCGATGCGCTGTGGATGGACTACCGCTGCTTCCACCACGGCGGCGCCAATCGCAGCGACGAGCTGCGGGCCGTGCTGTACGCGACCTTCAGCGAGGACAGGGAGGAGGGCGAAGGTGCGGAGACGATGGACGCCGAGGCTGGTCACGGGGACCACACGTCCTTTTCGATGGCGCCGCGGGAACAGTGCCACTGCCTCTCCGAGTATTTGGGTGCGAGGCTTTGAGACGGAGGTCTTTTTGGTCTTGGCAGGGTCCGCTTTACCCTTTAGCTTTACGGCTTTTGTTGACTCTGTTGGTGGGAAAATCAATATGTAAATCCCTAAATGAATTTCGCTTTTTGCATGTAGTATGTGCGATATTTAAAGCCGTGCCTGCTCGTGAAGAAAATGAATGATTCATGTTATACGTGTGAAGATACATGTAGCTGATAGCAACACAGTGACGATTTACAGCACACACAGCGAGCGAGCGCATGAGTGTGTCTCACCACCTCTCACATGCCTGTGAAGTCTCCGAAGTTGTGTTCTACTCTATCGACGTAGATTAGCTACTCCCGTTCCCTCTGCCTCTCAACTCAAGCCGTTCTCGTCCTGCCCTGGCCTCACTTGCACTTCCACACCGGTTCGCCGTTGAAGGTCGCGTCCTCCTCGCACGCCAGGTGCCCTGAGCTCGCGAGCGACCCCGGCGCTATCTCCTCCATCTCTTCCCGGTCGATGCCTTCGTACCACGCGTACTTTTCCGGCGATGACGTGCACACCACATTCACGCCGTCTGAGTCGCTGTTGACGAGGTAGCAGGCCACCTCTCCCTCCGCTGCGTCTCCTGTCGGTGCCGGCGAGCCGCTGAAGGCCTCCACAATGAAGGCACGCACCCCGCGACTGGCGCCCTGAGGAGCACCGAGGACGCGGAGCGCGATGCGGCGCAGACCCAGCTTTGGCAGTCCGGCGACCGCCGTACGCGCACGCCCAAAGACGCCAAAGCGATGGGGATCAATGCCGGCATCTGGCTGCGGGACAAAAGCCCTCGCCCGAGGGTGGCGTGGCGGCGCGTAGACTGCGGCAGCCTGCCGACCGTACACCGTGCGAAGTACCTGCAGCGTTGGAGACTGGGGCAAGCCACAGAGAAGGGTCAGGAGCATGTTGAGTGCTGCTGGATGCACTTGATGATGAGCAGGGGCGAAGTTTCAAGAATTCTAATATGGTCCAACCCTCGGAGAGTATTCTTTAGCTCCGAGTAGAGGGGGCGCTCCGCTGCTAGGGGAAACCTGGAGCGCGGACTAACCCTCGGAGAGTATTCTTTAGCTCCGAGTAGAGGGTGCGTTCTGCTGCTAGGGGAAACCCGGAGCGCGGTACTATCCCTCGGAGACCCGTGTTACGGCCCTGCGACCGCGCACCCCCTGGGCTAGGGCTCTCTTGCCCGCAACCCGATGCCAATCATCCGGCCCGCTGGATGCGCTTCTCAGCTCACCGGCCCTGGATGTGAGGTTGCCGACTGCACTCCAAGTGCTCCAAGTGCTAATATCCACCTTCAAGCCCTGATATACTCCGGCACGCCGAAAGTGGAGCTAAAAAGTCGTCCTTGACTTCTCAGCGCCCTGACGGCCCGCCGATGGCAGACCCGACTCCCTCCATCCGCATGGCGCCGCCCGATGGTGCCGGTAACCCTATTCCGGAGCGGTTTCTCCTAGGGTTAGCGCCGAAAAAGTCGGCTCCCTTAGCTCCGGCTAGGGCTAAGGGGCCTCCGCAGCCGACCGCGAGGAAGGGCCGACTTTGGGTTAGCATAGCGGGCCGATAAGGCCGCCCACACCCGCGAGGATGGTTGTGTGTTTGCCTCCCCGACTCGGACGGCCGCCTCAGAGGGCGGGAGTGCTTCCTCTCGCCCTCTCACCCGCGGGAGATGGCCGAGTCCACGGAGCCGCACGCTGCCTCTCCTTGGACGCAAGGCTCCGACTTCTATAGAGAAAACCCCATCTGCACCAGCGTTTTAAAGTGAAATCGTCAAGAGAAATCGATGCCCCGGGCTGGGCTTTGGGGTAGGCAGCCACCCTTTCGAAGGTGAGGCGTATCTGCCGACCTGTGAAGACGCTTTACTTGCGAGCAGTGCGTGGACCAGATGGCACGAGGGCACCGCAACATGGCTAAGGAGGCAGGGAAGCTTCTGCTCCGAGACGGCCGCTCAGGACCGCAAAATGGTGTTCCTGAAGGTTGTGTCAGTCGGGCTGGCCAGTCCCCGGAGCCTGACGGTCCAATGTTTCCCTCAAGAGTACTTCTCCCCTACCCCACCCTTCCACTTTAGATGTGTCGGACCATGCGGGGCGCGCGCACTAAGACAGTGATGGTAGCTCACCTAACCCGTCGCACCAGGGCTCCAATTCCATCTCTCGCTCGCGGATCTCGATCCTACCGTGCCAGTACGGCGGTCTGGGCACGAAATTATTCCTCCCCCAGCGGTTCATGAAGATACAAAAGAAGAAACCGGTGTCGCCAGTGTGAACAGCGACTTTTGAGAGCTCACAGCTGCTACCGAGCTCTGTGTCGCCCTGAGCTCAGAGAGCCGCCCTCTGCGCGCGGGGCCTGGCGCACGCGATCCGGGCCATGCCGTTTAGCCGCCCCTTTGCCTGCCAGACGACCAGCGCCCGCTGCCAGCGCAGCTGGAATGGTGTCATGATTTGGGCCGCGACTCACGCCACTCGTCAACAACGACCCGCTGTTGGTTACGCACGGCATCGCGGCATTCCACTCAGGTGTCAAGGTCGCTTCTCTGATTGCAACAGACGGTTCCGTGCTCGTGGTTGCGACCCCGCTTGCTACAAACTTGCTCCTCGACCACTGCCTGGACTTCGTGCGACACCGCAATTCAGTTCAAGCGAAGCGCGAATTGGCAAAAAAGCGCCGAAGGCGGTCAAAGGCGCTGCGGAGGAAGGAGCTGCGATTGTACCGGCGGGGCTTTGGCGCCCACCTTGAAATTGCGTGCGGACGCTCGTACTGCTTTTTCAGAACGGAGAGTGGCAGGTTCGAATGGCTACCATCCTCGTCGACGCGCGTCGAGAGGCTCGCTACGCCCGACCGCAACCGACACGACCCGTCCCGCCGCGCTTCAACCCCACCCGAGCTCCCACCCCACGCGCGACTGTCGCCCCCCCCCCTCCCCCGACACATATTCTCACACCCGCCGGGACGCAAAACGCTCTCGGCGAGAGCCACAAGAAGGCGTCCACACAGCAAGCCGCTCCTCGGACAGGCGTGCTCGATGCCTGCGAGCGCATTGCGCACGCTTTGAACGGTGGCGAAGCCAAAAACACCGATGGTGGCCGTCCGCTGGCGTGAGCGGCGGCGGTCGAGACATCACCCTTCGCGCCGACCAATCCCCCAACAAACCCAACCCAAACCAAAACAACCCAAATGAAAGCACGATTCTCCTGTTTGTTGGGCCCTCGGCCCCGAGTTTGAACAAGGGCGACGGACGCTTGCGTCCAGCCTCCAACAACGCCTCCCCGGCGCAGAGGGCCCCCCGGAGGGATGCTCAACCGCTCCACGCCACGCCGCTTGCGGCGGTCCTCTTCCCAGCTCCGCTGAGGGCACCTGTATTTTTCGCAGCACGCTTGATCGTGTGGACGGCGACGCCGCCGAGACGACCCGAGACGAGCGCGCGGCTGATGGGCAAAAAATCGCGCAAAGGTGGCAAGGGCGGCGGCGGTGGCGTCGGCGGCGCCAAGGGCAGCGGCGCCAAGGGCGGCGGCGCCAAGGCCCAGGAGGCCCACTTCGACAATAACGCGAAGCCGATGCTGACGCCGCAGCTCCTCGCGTCCGTCGCGCCTGCAGCCAACGGCGCTGTCGACGACGTGCTGTCGACCGCCGCGGAGATTGCGTCGACCGTCGCCTCCGACGTGGGCGAGCCTGCAGAGTACGCGACGACCGAGGATGTGGTGGCTGCGGCATACGAAGTGGCGCCGGCAGGCGGCGCGCCGACGGAGGCGGAGCGGGCGGCGGCGATTGCGGCGGAGGCGGAAGTGGCGGCGGCCGCCGCCGCCGCGCTGGAGGAGGAGGAGAAGGCGAGGGCGCAAGCAGAGCGCCAGGCGGCGGAGGCGGCGAAGAAGGCGGCGGCGGTAGCCGAGGCGGCGGCGGCCGAGGCGGCGGCGGCACAAGCGGCGGCAGCCGAGGCGGCAGCCAAGGCCGAGGCGGCGGCGGCGGCCAAGGCGGCACGGCCAGGCAAGTCGGGGACGAGCTGGATCGACAAGGACGCCTCCACCGAGCAGGTGATTGAGGCGGTGGACGAGGCGCTGGCGCAGGCCCGCGAAACGCTCGCCGCGGCCGGCGGTGCGGAGGAGGCTGCGCCACTCGCCGCCGGCGGACGCGTCGCGAGCGCGGTGTCGCTCATCGAGGGGGTGCCCTACAGACCCGCGAGGGTGGCGGAGGCGGTGGAGGCGGCGCTGCTGAAGCAGAACCCCTCCGCGATCGTGACGTCGCTCGAGGCGGCGCTGACCAAGGCGGAGGCGGTGCTCGCGGAGCGGCAAAAGGCGAGCGCGGCGGAGGGCGCGACTGCGGCGGGGGAGGCGGTTGCGGCGGGGGGGCGCGTGTCGGCGCTAGCCTGCCGGAGGCGCCTCGCGGGTTTTGCCGGGGTGGCACAGGCTCGAGTGTCTCGGAATAGGCGGGCGGCGCCAAGGCGGCGAGCGAGGCGGGTTCGCGCAACACGATTCTCGTCGCTGGCGTGGTGGCGGCGGCGGCGATGGCGGCGGTGGTCCTCTTGCGTCGACGCTGAGGTTCTGCTCGGGCGCAGAGGCCAGAGGCGCGCTTGACGTCCTTGCGCGTCGTCGCCAGAGGCACGGTTTCCAGCCTCTCTCGCATGGCAAAGGTTCGAATCTCGCAGGAGCGCAGCGATCGCTCGATGCTTGCAAAATAGCTGGTGGCGCATTTCCTTTCCCTTTGTCCGTTAGCGGGTTGTTGCCGTGAGTCCTCAACTCTCAGGGCAGCGTGCCAGGAGTGTGGCTGATGTGGTCGCAACCAGCCTCTCGCGTCTCGGCCCGCGCGCAGTGCTTGCGATTTACTGGTAAATGAGTGGTATTACCACTTATTTGATTCTCCTAGGGAGTGGTATGGTATGAGCAGAGAGTGGTATGCCGGCCAACTTGATTCCCGGATTCGCGTCTTACGGCCGGGTCACGGGAGGGGGGAGGGGGGGGGGGTGGATGCTGGATCCGTACGAAATCTGTAAGCAAAGCCACCAGAGAGCCCCCCATCACAGCCAGCTACCAGGCAGACAGAGATCCAGCACTCGCGACACGCTGAGAAGCCGGAGGCTGGCCTCTCCAATGCTCGCGCAATCCGGCACCAACTTGATTCCCGGATCGGCGTCTCACGGCCGGGCCGCGGGGGGACGGGGGAGGGACAGGGGGGTGGATCCGTAATTCCGTAAGTCCGTAAATTTGTAACCAAAAGCCACCAGGGAGTCCCCCACCACACCCAGCTACCAGGCAGACAGAGACACAGCACTCGCGACACACTGAGAAGACGAAGGCTGGCCTCTCTAATGCTCGCGCAACGCTGTCTGCCACGCGCAGCAGACGGGCGGCCAACACGGATCACGGTGGGAGGGGTCAGCGAGACTCAGCGCCGGCTGCGCTTCTTGGTCGGGGCCGGCGCAGGCGCAGCGAGGTGCTTGGATAGTGCCGCCTTCCCCTTTCTGAAGCACTTTGGGCAGCACCAGGGGAAGCCCTCGCTGCTCCCCGATGCACGCAGGCGTATCGTGGTAGATGCCGGGCCTTGCAAAACGAGCAAGCGCGAAGTTCGCCCGCAGCTGACTTGCACTTGGCGCATTTGGCACCGGCTGTGGCCGACCGCGCGGTGGTAGTCGCGGCCTCTAAAAGCTTGAGCGCGCCGGTGGCGATGAAGGCGCCGAGAGCGAACGGCGAGGGCTCGGTTAGCGCGGCAATGCCGCGCGCAGCTGGAGGTAGTACGGCTCGAACATCAGCGATGCCAAACGGTGGCCGCTTCTCCACCATGGCGACCAGAAGCGCGCAATCAAAGCAGATGTTGGCGGAGTCGAGCTTCCGGATGAAGGGCTCGAGGAAGAGGTGCTGCGTCGCGCAGGCCGGGTGCACCGTCTTTGCGCACACAACGCACTGGCTGCCTGGTCTCGACATCGGCGCGGTCCGCCACCTTGCAGCATGTCGCATAGCAGCACGCCGGGTGTGTTCGATTTTATTAAATGCGCAACACGAAATCCGAACTGCGCGTTGTGACACCTTTGGCCAGCTGGTTTTGATCGCTGGCTCAAGTCGCAAGACAGGGCAGTTCGGCCCCTCGCGCGCGCCACTCCCGGGCCGCCTGCCGCGGCCAAACGGACCTGTGGAACTGCAACCAGAGCAACATCTGCCCCCCGCGAGCCTGCTGGCCGAGGTCCATCAGCTACAGGACCGCAGGTGCGCCCGTTGCCCAGCCACGGACCCCTCTGCGCAGAGCCGTCGCGGCGCGAGAGGGCTCTGCTGCAGATACCACTGCTGCGCGCGCAACACGTATTGCGTGCGTCACGTACTCCGTGCGTCGGGATTCTGGGAGTCTGCCTCATTCCACTGCTGTTCCCAGAAAACTATCACTCCATCCCCACTCGTCATCGCGTGGTTCCACTTTTCCGAAACTGACGCGCTCCTGGCCGTTTGCGGCCTCAGGTGCATTGTCGGCGGCGCGTCGATGCTCAGGCCCCCTCAGCCGCTATCATCCCATGCAACGTGCTGGCCCGCAGCTGCCTTATGGCGTGCGCACCTTCACGCGTCGGATCGCGTCGAGCACCGCGCCTGTATCGTGCATGAGCACAGCCTCGAACGTACTGAGGTCGGCTATCCCGAGTTCATTGAGCAGGCGCTCCAGCACAATGCTGAGCTGCGTCGGTAACATGTCTCGACGTGTCTAAGCACGGCTCGCCAAGCCTCCAGATTCTGGCCACGCCGAGAAACGAAGATACACGCGAAGATACACCGAAGATACACACCGAAGATACACACCGAAGATACACGACACAGCTTCGAAGATACACAGTCCCCGTAACGACGCCCCGCAACTCGACTCGGTGTGCATTGAGCTGCCCTGCCGTTGCACCTCTCCGCTCGCGTCTCGGAGCCGGCGGGCGTGTTCGTCCTCTGAGCCTTAGCCGCCCAGAGCACACGCCTCGAGCCTAAGCACTTCGCCCATACCTCTCTCGCGCGGCCTTTGCGCGTGCCTGCGCTGCCACTCTGCGCATGCCCGACCCCCGGCTCAAGGCAGAGCCACCCCGGCTGGCGGTGTACACTGACATCCGGTGGTTCAGTCTCGCCTCTCGCCAGTCGCGATGCCAACTGCGCACTGCCCCTTCTCCGCAGGCTAACTGCTCCTGCAATCGGCTCCATGGCGTCGCCAACGGCTGCCGCTGCCCAGGCGCTGTCACGGGTTACCAAGATGTTACGGTCATCGCCGGGGGCAGGCGAGCGCGGCAGCGCGCGCGGCAGCGCTGCCGGCAGACATGTGCCTAGGAGTTAAGGTGCGCCTATAGGCGCTGTCTTCGGTTAAGGTGCGCCGGTAGGCGCTGTCTCGGTTAGGGTCAGGGTTAGGGTCAGGGTTAGGGTCAGGGTCAGGGTCAGGGTTAGGGTCAGGGTCAGGGTCAGGGTCAGGGTCAGAGTCAGGGTCACGGTTAGGGTTAGGGTTAGGGTTAGGGTTAGGGTTAGGGTTAGGGTTAGGGTTAGGGTTAGGGTTAGGGTTAGGGTTAGGGTTAGGGTTAGGGTTAGGGTTAGGGTTAGGGTTAGGGTTAGGGTTAGGGTTAGGGTTAGGGTTAGGGTTAGGGTTAGGGTTAGGGTTAGGGTTAGGGTTAGGGTTAGGGTTAGGGTTAGGGTTAGGGTTAGGGTTAGGGTTAGGGTTAGGGTTAGGGTTAGGGTTAGGGTTAGGGTTAGGGTTAGGGTTAGGGTTAGGGTTAGGGTTAGGGTTAGGGTTAGGGTTAGGGTTAGGGTTAGGGTTAGGGTTAGGGTTAGGGTTAGGGTTAGGGTTAGGGTTAGGGTTAGGGTTAGGGTTAGGGTTAGGGTTAGGGTTAGGGTTAGGGTTAGGGTTAGGGTTAGGGTTAGGGTTAGGGTTAGGGTTAGGGTTAGGGTTAGGGTTAGGGTTAGGGTTAGGGTTAGGGTTAGGGTTAGGGTTAGGGTTAGGGTTAGGGTTAGGGTTAGGGTTAGGGTTAGGGTTAGGGTTAGGGTTAGGGTTAGGGTTAGGGTTAGGGTTAGGGTTAGGGTTAGGGTTAGGGTTAGGGTTAGGGTTAGGGTTAGGGTTAGGGTTAGGGTTAGGGTTAGGGTTAGGGTTAGGGTTAGGGTTAGGGT